AGGAATCCTCTTCAGCATGCTTTTTATGGAGAAATGGTAAAGATTTGGGGGAGGATTGGTATCTGAAGGTGGACGTGGACTCAAAGGGCCCCTGTAAAATCTAATAATGATGGATTAGGAAGGCTTTGGTGAAAGATTTTGGAATGCAATAGTAGCTCATGGATGCTTTCTGGCATCTTGAGAGGGAATGATTTAGCTCTGTTAACAGATACTCTGCTTGGTAAATCCAGAGAATGCTCTGCTGTCAGCTACTGCAAAAGAGAGTCAATGCTATTACATTTTGTGGCTGGACTGGCGGGCAGCACAAATGAATCCCAACCATCCCAGACAGTAAACCAGCTTTAGAGGCTCAACTTAAATGCCTCTATGCATGGGGAAAGAACAAGAGGAATTAGAGACATCTGCATGCGTTCAGGGCTGTGATCTTATTGGCACCACAGAGACGTGATGGGATGTCTTCTATGACTGGAGTGTTGGAAGGATACGTGATCTTGAAGAAGGACAGGGAGGGGGGACAAGGAATGGGTGTGGCCATCTATGTCAATGACTAGCTGGAGGGTGTGGAGCTTTATCTGGGGATGGAGAGGAGCAGACCAAGAGTTCATGGATCAGGATTAAAGGGAGGGCAGGTATAGGTGACATTACAGGTCTGCTACAGGCTGCCTCACCAGGAAGACCAAGTGGATGAGGCCAGATATGAGCAACCTTGCATTCATAGTTCCTGGTCCTCATGGGAGAGACTTCAACCACCCTGACATCTGTTGGAGGGACAACACAGAAGGGCAAAAGCAATCCAGGAGGTTCCTGGAATGCATTGACAGGAACTTCCTTCTCCCAGTGACATAGGAGCCAAGGAGGAGAGGGGCTATGCTGGACCTTGTTCTCACCAGCAAGAGGGATAGGAAGCTCAAGGGCAGACTTGGCTGCAGGGACCATGAAACAGTGGAGTTCAATATCCTTAGGGCAGTGAGGAGGGTACAGAGCAAACTCACTGCCCTGAACTTCAGGATGCAGAATTTGGCCCCTTCAGGGATATGCTCAGTAGAGTACGATGGGATAAAGCCCTGGAGGGAAAAAAGGCCCAAGAAAGCTGGTTGATATTCAAGGATCACCTCCTTCAAGCTCAGGACTGATGCATCCCAACAAAGAGAAAGTTGGGCAAAAATGGCAGAAGGCCTGTGTGGATGAACTCTTGGACATGCTCAGGCACTGAAAGGAAGACTACAGAAGGTGGAAGCTGAGGCAGGTAGCATGGAAAGAATATGGAGAGACTATCTGAACAAAAGAAAGCTGGTTGATATTCAAGGATCACCTCCTTCAAGCTCAGGACTGATGCATCCCAACAAAGAGAAAGTTGGGCAAAAATGGCAGAAGGCCTGTGTGGATGAACTCTTGGACATGCTCAGGCACTGAAAGGAAGACTACAGAAGGTGGAAGCTGAGGCAGGTAGCATGGAAAGAATATGGAGAGACTATCTGAACAACCAGGGATCAGGTTAGCTAAAGCCGCCTGTGTGGATGAACTCTTGGACATGCTCAGGCACTGAAAGGAAGACTACAGAAGGTGGAAGCTGAGGCAGGTAGCATGGAAAGAATATGGAGAGACTATCTGAACAACCAGGGATCAGGTTAGGAAAGCTAAAGCCCTGGTAGAATTAAACCTAGCCAGGGACTTCAAGGACAACAAGAAAGATTCTATATGTTTGTCTATGATAAAAGAAAGATGGGATAATGTGAGCCCTCTCCAGAAGGAAAGGGGAGACCCGATTACCAGGATGTGCTAAAGGCTGAGGTACTCAACAACTTTTTTGCCTCTGTCTTCACTGGCAAGTGTTCCAGCCACGCTGCCTGAGTTGTAGAAGGCAAAGGCAGGGACTGAGAGAATGAAGATCTGCCTGCTGTAGAAGATCAGGTTCAAGACCATCTAAGAAACATGAAGGTGCACAAGACCTGTTAAGATGCATCCATGGATACTGAGGGAACTGATGGATAAAGTGGCTAAGTCACTATCCATTATATTTGAGAAGTTGTAGCAGTTTGGTGAAGTTCCTGTCAACTAGATAAGGGGAAAAATAATGACCATTTAAATAAAAAAAAAAAGGAGGGAGGGAAGGAAGACCTGAGGAATGTCAGGCTGGTCAGTCTTCCTCTATGCCTGGCAGGATCATGGAGTAGAGACTGGAACATGTTGCCCAGAGAAGTTGTGGATGCCTCATGCCTGGAAGTATTCGAGGCCAGCCTGGATGGGGCTTTGAGCAACCTGGTCTATTTGAAAGTGTCCCTGATGATTATCTTTAAAGTCTCTTCCGACCCAAATCATCCTATGATTCTAAATAAGAGGTTTTGCATCTTGAAGAACTAAAGGGGTTCCTTCAGCAGCTGTGTTAAGTAGTGCATTGTTTCGTGCTTTGAATTGAAGCTTCTGCTGCTTTCTCTTTTTCTGCCACTGGGTGACAGTCAAACATAAACTTAGACTGTTGCTCAATTCCTCGCCTTTGGGTAGGAAAAAACCGGGATTTGCTCTACATGTAATGCAGAGCACCAGAGAAGGGGAAGATGATGCTAAAAATGTCATCTACTTTCACTGGCCTTCTTCCCTTCCCTCTGTTAATGGAGGGCTATGCAAATGAAAGTGATTAGTTTCTGTCATTGCTTCTGTCACCTTATTCTGTGTTACTACCAGGCTGCAGCAGTCCTGTGGCAAGCAGCTGATGGTTGCTGGATCAGGCTGACTTGTGCCTGTACAGGCCAGGGCCTGTAAACCCTGTTGTGTGTCCTCGTGGCTACTTGATTTAGGAGGGTCCTTTGTCAGATGCTAAAAAATCCTGGTAGATGAGTTGCTTCAGGCTCTAACCTTTGGTGCAGTTGAGCCCTGTCTTAACAGTTTGTGGACAGAGATGGAATGATACTGTGGTAAGTTTGAAAGGCTGGAGAGGTGTGACCACTGTGGAGGTGGGCAGACTTGTTGCTGTGGGCTAACAATGAGACGTGCTTGCTATGTGTTTTTGGGAAAACTCAGCCCGGGGCAGGATGTTTCAACAGCAGCTCATTAACACTGCTCTGCTAGCACTTTAAGCTATTTGTTCTGGTCTGGTGGAACATGGGATCTTAAATTGGAGTTGCAAAAACAAGTCTGCTATGGGGCTCATTTTATGCTGGTGCTTTGGTAGCCTTGGGACAAGCACAGCTTTGCCTCTTGTTGCATAATTATCTGTAGTGATCCATTTGCCAAAGTGTCTAAGGAAATAACTTTTGCAGACACTTGTAGTGAAATAGACCTCAGCTGCTTTGACATGCCAAATGTGATGGCTTTTGTGTGACTAATTTCCTTGTAAGACACTGTCCCTAAAGTTATGAAGTGGGAAAGAATGTAAGTTGTAGTGCTGCTGATGCTCAAGAAGGTAAGTTCTCTTGGGAGCTGATTCTTTTTCCCCCTCACTCCTTCCTGGTCACTGTTGGAGACTTACGGTTGATTCTGTGGTCTCACCAAAAAGTTCTTGAGACTTTTTTTAGTTCTCTTTGAGCTTTGGAGCAAGTACAGCAGACCCAGAGGGCATTGAGTAAGTTGCTTTTCTTGGGGAAGGAGAAAAGAGAATGCCAAATATGAGAGTGGTATCTAATTGTCTGGTGTGACTTTTTAGCAATCTAGCCAAAGCTGTCAGATTGTGGCCATGTATGAGTATCTCAGAGGCAGGTGCAAGAAGACTGCAAATGGTTAATCGTGGCAGAACTGAAGCCCAGAAGCAACTTCCCCTAACCTGGACATAGCCAAATGTCCTTATTCACTGAGCCTGTTACCTGAGCTCTTAATCCTGTGGCACTAGAGAAGGTTGTCCTGCAAGGTACTACAGTCAGAAAACAGGGTTGGGCACCATGAATATTGGAGCTGTCTGCACAAGAGTGTTCCTATAGAGATCAATTTGCCTATAAAACCCATCAAGTCAGTGTTGAAAGCTAGTGCTGCAGCATGGATGAAGCTGAGCTACTGCCTTAGTTACTTGGGTTCTTTGCTGTCCCTGATGTCTCATGGGAGTTCAGCCACTACTTCTTACTATTAGTCACTACTTCTTATGATTTCACTGTCCCTGGAGGTTTTCACGATGAGACTGGATGTGGCACTTAGTGCCATGGTCTAGTAACCAATGGTAGGGCTGGACCAAGTGATCTTTGAGGTCTTTTCCAACCCGGTTTATTCTATGATTTTTTGTGGCTGGTGGTGCAGGTTTGTTGCTGGCCAGAACTCTCCAGCTGTGACAAGGAGGCCTCTAACTGCAGCTGCATTAGAAAGGACAGCTCCCTGCACTGAGAACAGGAGGTGAATTCTGGGAGTAGGGGTCAGAGGCAAGCAGGAATTTGAGCCCATGAAAGTCTTTGTAGTATCTG